TTGGGGGTACCCTTATATGGGGGCTATCCGAAAAAATGGACCTATATTCATAATTTTTTGTGGAGAGATTTGGAACCTATTAAGAACCCAATGTACCAAATTTCAGCTTATTCGTTTGAAAAACGCGCTCAAGAACCCCAAAATACCGAAAATTGGGGGTACCCTTATATGGGGGATATCCGAAAAAATTTACCTATATTTATAATTTTATGTGGAGAGATTTGGTACCCATTAACAACTCGAAAAACTAATTACAGCCAATTCGGTAGAAAAATTCGATCAAAACTCCCAAAATACTGTAAATTAGGAGGTACCGTTATATGGGGGCTACCAGAAAAAGTTGACCTATATTTATAATTTTTTGTGGGGACATTTAGTACCCAATAAGAACCCACTGTACCAAATTTCAGCGTATTCGGTTGAAAAACGCGCCCAAGAACCTCAAAATACCGAAAATTGGGGGGTACAGTTATATGGGAGCTATGTCTAAACGTGGACCGATATATCCCATCTTCGAACTTGACCTGCCTGCAGACAAAAGACAACCCTATGCAAAATTTCAGCATCCTATCTCAATTCCTTCAGAAGATAGCGTGATTACAACAGACGGACGGACAGACGGACAGACGGACGGACGGACGGACGGACGGACATGGCTAGATCGTCTTAGAATTTTACCCTGATCAAGAATATATATACTTTATAGGGTCGGAAATGAATATTTCGATGAGTTACAAACGGAATGACAAAATTAATATACCCTCCATACTATGGTGGAGGGTATAAAAATAAAGTTTTATAGCAAATAAAGTTGTTGCTCTTGAGAAGAGAATATGCAATTTTCATGGCTAGGATTTTTATTAATGTTTATGGAAACTATGAAACATAAAAGATCGATATCTGATTTCATCTGTGTTCGGTGACATCATGCACATGAGTTTTTAAAGCATATAGACACCCAAGAGTAAATGCGAATTATGAAACTATACAAGCTACAAACAAAACTAGGCGTTATTGCCCTAAAAAGGCATTGTAAATACGAGCAATATTCTAACAACTTCTACGTGCAAAACCTGTTTTCTTAATGTACAATCATTCTGGGCAGACTCCCAGGAACTGGAATGGGAAACAGTAAAGTTCAATGCTGTTATATCGCAATCTGATCTGTTTTTATTTGTTCTTTATGATGAGTAATATTATAAACAGGATATATGAAGTCACCAAGGAATAAATTCGGAAAATACTATTTAGAATACAAATTTATACCTATACAGAATAATGATGCATAATGTACACACCATTATAAGGCTCTTCCTCTATTCCCGTTAGCAAGAAATTTAAATGTAAATCTAACATTGTATGAGGGCCCTACAGTACATAGATGAACTCACGTTTTTGTATGGCGATGAAGTATATTTCTAACACACTATAAAAAAAACTATTTTAATGAATGCATTCGTGAACGACGCTGGCTTAAAGGCGAAAGTCGTCCAAAACTGCATAATGCAAGTCACGTGACATACGGTGAGGTACTAAGCATTTCTTACTCTAGCATACATTTTATATTGAATACCGCACAATTTGAGAATCACTGGAAAGATATGATCGCTGTGCTTCGCAGGACTTTTATATATGAGTATGAGACCAAAATAAAACTGTAATCGACCGCTTAGGTCTTAGTCTGGACAATACAACACAATGTGTTTACCTGAAATCTTGGGAGAAAAACATGAAGAACTGAGGAACTATTTTATACTCTCGAGACTTCTGATGTAAGGAATAATGGAGAATATATGTAACCTATCACACCGACTATTGTTCCACGAGAATGTTGTAAGCCATAGTTCACACGAATTTTTGATGGAAATTGTCATAAAATCTCAAACCCCATACCATGGTCCGATATTGATAACACATTGTAGAAGGGAATATGTGTATAAAATCCCCACAATACTGCAATTTAGAGGGCAAATTTATATGTGGGCCTATATCTAAAGGTGGACCAGTATTCATTAAATCGTGAATTACCAAACATTTGGAGTTATCAGGAGTTAAAGGGGCTGTGCCTAATTAAGGACCGATGTAGCTCAATTTCGATCCTAACATGTTTGCATTACAATATCTTTATTCGCGCTAAATATTAAAAAATACCGATCATTCATTCATTCTCGAAACTGATGTACTAGTTTTTTATCTCGATATATTCCGAATGTAGAATGATTGCAACAGATGGCTTAATCGTCTTAGAATTTCATACTTTGTAGGAAAAGAAACTGACAATTTCGAGTACAGTATATCCCTTTTACTATGGTGGAATTCGCCTTTATGAGACAACCCCAGAACGCGGAACATGGAGACTACCCCCAAAAAGGCGAATATAAATATTTTTTTTCCTGTTGAAAATCGCGCTCAAAATACTGAAAAAGTGGACTTATATTTTTCATTTGTAGTGAAGAAATTTGGTATCCAATAAGAACCCATTGTACCAAATTTCAGCGAATTCGGTTGAAAACGCACTCAAAACCCCCAAAGTACTGAAAATTGGTGAGTACCATTATATGAAGGCTACCATTTACCTATATGTAATGTTTAATGAAGAAATGTCGTACCAAACAAAAACCCAATGTTCCAAATTTCAGTAAATTTAGTTGAACCAGTAAGGAAAGTAGTAAAGTCGGACGGGGCCGACTATATGATACCCTTCACCACTTTGAGTATATTCAACAAATGAATCCTAACAGAAGTCGTATGTGTCAGTCTCGTTTCCTTCTGCCTGTTACAAACATATGCACAAAAACATAATATCCTGTGCCAGAAAAAAAAATTGGTTCAAGAACCTCAAAACCTGGGGGCTACCAAAAAAAATTGACCAATATTTATAGTGTAGATATGTGCTACCTAATAAGAACTCGACGTACTAAATTACAGTCAATTTGGTTGAAAAATACGATCAGAACCCCCAAAATACCAAAAATTTGGGGTACCGTTATATGGGGACTACCATAAAAACTAGACCTATATTTATAATTTTTAGTGGAGTAATTTGGTACCCAATAAGAACCCAATGTACAAAATTTCAGAGAATTCAGTTATAAAACAAGCCCAAGAACCCGAAAATTGGGGGTACCCTTATATGGGGGCTATCCGAAAAAATGGACATTTATTTTTAATTTTTGGTAGGGAGATTTGCTACCCAATGAGAACACAAAGTACCAAATTTCAGCAAATTCGGTCGAAAAATGCTATGAAAACCCCCAAAATACCGAAAATTGGGGGTAATCTTATATGGGGGCTATCCGAAAAAATTTACCTTTATTTATAATTTTTGGTAGAGAGATTTGCTACCCAATAAGAACTCAATGTACCAAATTTCAGCGAATTCAGTTAAAAAACGCGCTCAAGAACCTCAAAATACCGAAAATTTTGGGGTACCCTTATATGGGAGCTATGCCTAAACGTGGACCGATTTTCTCCAATTTCAATAGGTTTCGTCCTTGGGCCAATTAAGTGACCTGTGCCAAATTTCATCCAAATCGGATAATAAATGCGACCTGTACTTTGTTAACAAAAATACATGGACGGACGGACGGACGGACATGCATAAATCGACTCAGAAAGTGATTCTATGCATATTCTCAAAAGGAACCATGGGTCTATCTCGATTATTTTTGCCTGTTACAAACATATGCACAAAGACATAATACCCTGTACCACAGTGTGGTGAAGGGTATAAAAACGTGACCAAACACCTAAAATACCGAAAATGGAGAGTTTTGTGCCCTTTTGTGGGGGTATGTCTGCCATTTCGAACTAGACCTGCCTGCAAACTATAAATTTTTATCTATAATTAAGCCCTCCAATAAAGTGCATATAAACTTGTTCATTTCATTTGTCATATTTCATCTCGAAATATTTACCTAATACCCCATATATTATAGATATTCGTAAGCAGAATAAAACTAAAATCCATTTTTTATTGAAATCGGGATAGAGATCGCAATATTTATGATAGATATCTAGTATTGGAAATGTGATAAATCGGCCTTCTCTTCAATATTAACCCCATGTACCTACCAAAAATGAACAATATTTGCGGACGGATATTTGCAAATCGACTCAAACATTTCTAAAACCGATTTGGTCCAAAGACACGAGGGATCTTAAAGCAATATATCGATGAGACACATTTTTTGCCGTAGCAAAGTATATATAATAATACAACTTTCATATTAAGGCAAAGGTCGATTTTTAAAAGATTATGTATTGTTTACATATTTTATGTAATGGAGTTACAATTAGTAATACTTGGGATCTGAAATTGTCAGTTTTGTTGTTACAGTTCTATTGTTTCAAATTCATTATAATCAGTTCCAATGAAAAAGTCTACGACAATCCATATGAGATTTGTATGTCTCAGAACTTTATAAAATAAAAAATATTTCCAACAAATGGGAATATATTGGATCACATTAACGCATTTCCAAATTATCAACATCAAAATGTATCTTAAAAAACCTATGCACATAGGATGTAATGTGGTGCCTCCTTAAACTCTGATATAAATATTTCTGTGCGAAGAAATTAATACTACATGCTATAAAAAATATAAAAATCTTTTGTAATGTTAATAAACCTCTCTGTGCTGCCATATATTGAGCAATAAAATATCTTCCATAACATATTTATAACAAACTGCCAACAGAACTCCTCCTTGATTTCACATTTAAATGGGCGATTTCTTTTGCAACAAATTCTTTCCAGCTTTTAATGTCTCAATTTATTTCCAATTTATATAATTTACCGTTAAGTTACCTAAAGCCATACTGGGCAATGTAAACACACTTTATGCTAGACACAACTCCATTTACTCCGGGGGTATTAATAACTCAGTTTTACCTTTCTGTACAATTACGAGATTTCATGTAACGGGTTTTCCCACTCTTTTTTTAATTTCGTATTTTCTCATTCTCATACTTCGTTGTGCTTGTATTTTTTTTCAGATCCAACTACTGTCGGAAAATTTTGCATTACATTTTGCCCCAGCCTTAGCCGTGGATACGGCTGAATATATTTGTCTGGTAAATGACCGGCATATACCAGAAGCAATTGTTGATTTACTGGTACAAGGTAAGTTTTGTTTTTATATTGTGGTGGAAGAGAGTGGTAGTGGCTGGTCATGTGCAACAGGGTGGCTGATGGCAGGTGACCCCGTTCTCGGACACAATGTGACACAACAATGGCAATGACTCGCTAAGTGTACCTTTGTGTGGCCGTGAGGCATGTTGTTACTACTTCAGCTGCTGTTGTTATTGCCGGTTACTTTATGAAGGACAATAAAGAAAACGGCAACGGTACAACATGGTGGCAACATTTTTATGTATTCGTAGCAACTTTTAACCATTATTGTCATTTTTTTCTGTATTTCCCTCCTTTTATGCAACCCATTAAACTGCGACTACTTTTGCTGGCGGATGTGTTGTACGTGTGCACCGAAAACCCCAAACCAGATGTACCAGATCCACCTGAACGACCGTTGCTGATAAGTTTTACTTCACGTTCGGTTAACTTATCGTGGGCCCATTCACAGCATCCACGAAATGCTCCCGTGACGCATTTCATTATTGAAACACGGTAAGTGATGAATAAAAATACAAACACATACACAAAGGTACATATACTGAATTATGTGGACAGTGGAACTTGTTATTGACGGACAAGCATTATCACGGAACCGTGATAATAATATTCATGATATTTATAAAGGTACATTTTTTTAGTTAGTTTTTCCTTTTCGAGTCGAGATTAATGATTGACGTTTTTGTCATGAAAAGGAAGCGTCATTATGGTTCTGTACGCTAAGTGGGAACATTCGTGTTGATTAAGGAACCTAGGTTCGATTTACAGCCGGATAATTTCCTCTTTTTTTATTTATTATAAAAAAATGTTTATTTCTAAGTAATAGGTTCCACTGTAGAATTTAACATACACACTCCAGATACGTGTGTAGTTCTTATTTTAGTTATGACTGCCCCACGAGAGAAACAGGATATATGTGGGCTAGTCTTCAGTTACCTTTAACAAAATATATGGGCGTTATTTTCATGAAAATTTCCATGGAAAAATGTTTTAATGATCGCCGCAGAGTACGTCACAAAAAAACCCAAAACGAAGAACTGGCAATTTAGTTTAAATTCCTCGATTATTTTGCATTACTCGATATTAATTGAAATATGATATATGTGGAACCAATTCCAGTTACCTACTGACAGAGAATTTGTTATAAAAAATAAAAAGTTCTTTACTCATACTCAGATTCCATTATTAGGAAAAAGTCAAAATGTATTTATTTAATACCTTTAAGAGTGGGTTCTAATACCCTCAGGCTTATATACACTTTGCTTTGGCAAAAATGTGTCTCATCAAAATATTGGTTTTATATCCCATGTTTCTTGGATCAAATCCGATTCAGATAATATTTATCCGTCCGTTTGTCTGGGCCCACAATAACTCTCGAAGGGAGTAACCGATTTCATCCAAACTTTGCACATCATAACATTTCTCCCAATCTTAGTTTAAGTTCGAAGATGGGGAATATCCGCCCACTCCTTTTGGTACCTCCCCCACAAAATGTTCAAACTTTCAAACATTTAATTTTATAATATCATGTGAATGGGATATTCGATTAAAACCAAACTGTACAATCTATTATATTTACAAACCTAGATTAAGTCCGAATATGGGACCCATTGGTCCACTTCTTCTGGTACCTCCCCACAAATTGTCAATATTTGTTAACATCTATAAATTTAATATCAGACAAATGTAGTGTCTGATTTGACCCAAACTTTGCACAATCTAATCCAATCCTAGATTATTTCCGAAAAATGGACCCATTGATCCACTCTTTCTATTGCCTTCCCCACAACTGTTCAAAAATTTTATATATCAGACGAATGGAATGTCTGATTTGAGCTAATTTTTTGTACAACCTATTAGTTTTATCAAGCCTAGATCATGTCCGAAGATGGGACCCATTGTTCCACACATTGGGTCAATATTTTATAAACGTTAAAGTTAATTACAGCGCACTGTATAATCGATTTGATCAGCATTAAATCCGAAACCTCTTAAAAAAATAATAATAAATACTTGTGTGTAATTTCGAAGACATCCGCAAACCGTAGGCTGGGGTATCAATCTCTCGGCAACACCGACTGATACTTTGTTACTTGTTATATAATTTTTTAAGAATTCACTGATTTCGAAGAGCTCCACAAACCATAGGCCGCTGGTATAAATCAGTCGGCAACATCGACTAATACTTTTATACTTTTCTATAATTTTTTACGACCCTCACAGCTGTGTGATAAAATTTAATTTACTATCTGTCCAATACCATGGCAGCTCTATTTGTCGATTTTGTCCTTAGGTTGTTTTCCTCGACTCCCCGTTAATGGGATCGGTTTCAATAATAGATATATAAACCTTCGTTAACTCTTCCCTAAAAAATATATATTATCTTGATAAGAAATAAAATCTATGTCAATTTAACTTTCTTCAATTCAAGTTATTAGTTTTCATTTCAAAATCCACAAATTTAGTAATAAGTAGTATCAATCTCATATTCAATTTTTATTGTTCTATTTAACAATTGAAACCTTATGGGTGTTTAAATTACCTCATTTCAATAATATTCCCCTATCAATCTCCATTATTTATAACATCTCTCCCATTATATTAAAGTCGAAATGGTTACAGAACTTTTGATCCATTTAATATTACTATTCAAATAAAATTCGCAATGCATTAACAACACCATTGAAACTGAAGAGTAACTTTTAAGTGCTAAATTGAAGTTGACGAGGAAAAACTGTCACAACAAACTCTATTGAAATTTAGCGTGATGCGCGAACAATGGATTTTTTATAAGCTTCCCCTGTCCACAAAATTAAAACTTTCTCAGCACCGCCATGGATTTTATTGTTAGAGTGGAGTAAAAGTTGTTTGTTCCGTTTTTTTATACTTCATGAGAAAAAAAATCAATACAGCGATGAAAAATGAAACGACATTATTAAATTATTTTGTTTTTGCAGCAATAAAATACGTTTAAAAATGTCTTAATTTTAAGAAGCAATTGTATTTGCAAGAATTTTCAGCTTGGTAGAATATCAATCATTATTCTCGCGCCTCTTTCAAGCAGACACTAAAATTGTCTAATGTAAAGCAATGCGAAGCAAGCAAATGGATCAATGTGATTTATTTTTAATTTTTATGTCGATATGGTTTATCTTTTATTTCATTGCTAGTAGAATCATCACAGTGGCATACAGTACATATGTCATATTATTGACGCTTTTTCAAAATAAATATCATACGCCACATCATCCCTCTTACGTATACACGGTTTTGTAACATCCGGCTTAGTCTATTTGCAATTTAGTTTTGTTTCAGGGGGAACGTATGAAAACGTGAAGAAAAACTTTACTTTTACCATTTTTGCACAACAAAATATTTTCCAAAAGAACAAAAATATTACTACATATAAAATATTCTGTTGTTTGTTTGTCAATAACGTCATATATCTGCAAAAAATAAACAAAACAAAAAAAAAATACACTAAATACTTTTTGATAACGTCAACGAAGATGTGCGTAAAACTTGTTGTTGTTGTTTTTTACTGCCATTGAATGTGAATTTTTAGAAAACAACAAAAATATATTCTTAGAATCTCAAAAACACAACTAAAAACAGAGTTGATACCTTACAACAACAATGATGACGATGGCGGCAAATATGATGCTGATGATGATATTGAATGTCACAAAAACGTTCAACACATCACACACATATACTGATACATGTGAGCCAAACAAAGATTCATATGTGTCTTTGAAAGCATAAAAAATAGTAATTGTCATTGTGACAGTTTCTCACGTCGGATGTAGGTAATAAAGTGGATCCATTAAAAAAACATCAAATTCATTAAAACTCTCAGTGAGGTTTTAAGGGCATTTTCCCCGAGCGTGGATTTTTAATAATAGTAATTACACCTTCATCTCTTCTAAGCTATAAATTGTAATGTGATTTTTTAAGACTTTTACCAAGGCGGATTTTTTTTTAGAACTAAGCTTGATTTTTTATGAAATTTAGTTTTACTTGAAGTTGTGGAATTTTGAAGATTTTTTCCAATACATATACACCACAAACATGGTATCACTTTAAAGGCCAAAAATTCCTCTTGGATATACAATCAATTTATCGGGTATATTTCCTTCAATAATAACTCTATAAGCTATAGAATGCAAATCTTGCTATTTTTCACATAAAAGTATGAGTCATAAAAAGAGCCATGCTTGTTCCTTGATATCGTGATGTTCGGGTTATAGTTGTGGCTTTTAGGGCCTCCAGAAAAAAGATAAGAATAAGGTGTTTGGTCTATTTCATCCCACAAATTTTCACCGATCATTAACAAAAACAATAGGGGTCTCCTTTGACAAGAACGAATCAAGTCCTGGCCAGATCCTACATGGGACATTGCTCCATAACTGTAGCGTGTTTACAAATTATAATGGACAGACGGATGGACACACATGGCTAGATAGATTCAGCTAGTCCAGATATGACCATCGGTATACTAAAATGTGGGTCTTTTGGTCCACACAAAGTTATAATAGTTGTGTTGGGTATAAATATCAGTACTGACCAACCCTATGTTCGAGGTGGTAATCATATTTCGGTTTTTGGATATATGGGTACGTTTTTCAATCGAATTGATTCTAATTTGATATTTTATATTATCATTGTGTCTGAAATGTTCATATTTTGAGGATGTCAGTATGTCCAAGGTCCTAGATTAACATTTTAACCTGAGCATCTGTGGTTTCATATTTATTTTTTTTCCTGGCAGTAAATTACCATTAATGTAGACCTCATAGTGAAGGGTTAAAAAAGGTTCGGCCCGGCCGAACGACCTTTTTCGTTTAAGAATATTTTTCCAAAGCTCTGACGTCAGGAGGCTCGAATTCAATATTAGATCGGATGATGGAATTTTACCCCAGCTCTGACGCCAAGGGACTCGAACTCAATATTAGATCGGATTATGTCATTTCTATCCAGAATACGAACAATGTAAGCCAGGATTTTTTCAAAAACTGTCAAAAGTAATTTTGTTTGTCAGGACATTTCCATTAGGACTACCATTTCAATTAGTGTAGATTTTTTTTCAAAACATATTATCAAGGACATTACTTGACAGGAATATTCATAGAAAATACTGTCCAGTACCTTTCAAACACTATGGCCGTTAATATTCTACAAAAAAAAAAGGAAATATAATCATCCGAGACCAAAATATCACCTCTCATAATTTGTTTCAAAATACATATGTTCCCACTCTATTACATAATATGTAAAGGATATTTGTTTAGTCATCCATTTATTTTTCTTACAGCAAATTGACATTTTATTGTCAGGAAATAAATAAATATGTCACATAATTTATTTTTCTCAAAGAAATGTCTATTCTTAGATCAGTTCTCCTTTTTGTTGCTGTTCTTCAAACGTAAGCACAAATACAGACGAAATCGAACTCGCACTAAATGAACTGTGATTTTCAAACAAAAAATACAAAA